GCCTCCAAGCCCAGGGTGGGAGGGGAGTCAGCAGGGGAGGGCACAAAACAGCAGTTCTAGGGTGAACCCGACGGCAGGGTGGCCAGGGCTGCGCACTGCACCACCAGGTTTCAGGCTCCAGGCCCCTTCTTGCCACTGTGCACATCACACACTCACCCAATCCTCAACCAAACCCACACTCACAGTCACTCCTGTGGACACTCACACCCACTCCTCTTGCACACCACTCACTCCACTTGTATCCCAACCCCCACTACTCTTGCACACCCACACCCAATCCTCTTGTATACTCTCACCCACTCCTCGGGCATACCACACTCACTCCTCTTGCACACCACACCCAGTCCTCTTGCACACCCACATCCACTCACCAAGCACACCCACGCCCCCTCCTCATGCCCACTCTCACCCACTCCTCGGACATACCACACCCACTCCTCTTGCACACCCACACCCACTCACCAAGCACACCCACGCCCCCTCCTCATGCCCACTCTCACCCACTCCTTGTGCACACCACACCCACTCTGGGTTGGGCCCAGAGGCAAGCCAGGCCACCAGCTGCTCTGGGGACGGGGACGGGTGCTGACTAGCAGCGCTGGTCCCTGGTTGCACCGCAGGACTGGTGTGGCAGAACTGGAATCCAGGGGATGGAGTTCCTTTTGCCTCAAGTTCACCCGCATTTCTGAGGCCCCTGCTGAGTGGCGGTGGCCTGAGACCCCCTCAGGTGGGTGTGTCCTAGCACACTGTGGGAGCTGCAGGGGCAGTGGGCTGGGCTCAGGGCTTCCCGGGTGCAGAGCCCAGGAGCCCAGCATCCATCTCGCAGACAGGTGGGTGGACCCCGGAGAGCTCCTGGTCCAGCACACTGAGGCGATGCTGAATCTGGGGCTCTTGTTTTTTCTTGGTATACATCAACATTTATTAGTGACCATCCCTCTGAAATCAGCAACAATATTAAAAAAAATAATGATAGCACTACTTGGTCAAGCAGAACTAGCAACTTTCATTTAAAAAAAGTACAAATCTGTTAAAAATTTCAATCAGTAAACACATACATGATACAACATACTAGTTATGTTAGATGCTACAAACCAATGTGAATCCAATGGAACAGAAAAAACCACACATTTAATCTTTAAGAACCATTTTTTTCTCTATATATTAGCATTTTCTCAAATGCATGGGAAAAATGAGGTCAATGTACAATGTGCAAGGAACAGGGCCCCCGAAATCACATATATTTATATATATATGTTACTATGTCTATATAAAACCTTTCTAACACAGAACACAGGCGCTGGGCCCAGCCAGGGCTGGGGAAGGTGCCCACTGTCATGCCTAGGCCAGAAGTTGGTGAATAAAAGAGTAAACAATGACAAGCCCCCACCCCAGGAAATCCTGGTAACATGGCATCTATAACAAGGTCAGCAAATCACAAACATCCTAAATAATTGTTTCATAAATCTTTTTTTATGATGATTAAAAATAAATGTTGTTTCCTGCCCAGTAGCTGCTGTTGGAATCATTGCTGCAGCCAACACACAATCCGTGAGCCTGTTTCCGCCTGCCCCAGGAATGGTAAGGGTTTGGAAAACCTTTTGTTGGGGTGGGACGGGAGGGGGGTTTTGGGAAGGGTGGTTCTTTGTGTAAAACACGTAGGTTTTCAACACAGCTATAAATACAGAAACGTCACCTGGAGTTATATACAGTAAGACTTTGGGTTCTCCATGGGGGTAGGACCAGGCTGACGGGTCCCGTGGCAGGCAGGGAGCCAGGGCGCTGCGGGGAGAACCAGGGGGGCTGGAGCACCCCTGAGGCAGCAGGCGCCAAGGGCTGCCTGCTAGGATGTGCCGGCCCCATACGGGGTTCGTTCAGGGCAGCAAGCCCAGCTGAGGGTAAGAGGGGAAAGAACGGCATCAGAGAAGGAAGGTGGGGAGCTCAGCCAGACCCTGCAGGGGCTTCCTGCAGACCTCGAGGGCAGGGATCAGGCTTAATCGGGGGCTCTTAAAACGGGGGTGGGGGGTGGGGGGTGGAACCCTTACGATGTGAGCCCTGGGCAGTGCAGGGGCCCTGGAAATAACCAGGAGATGGGCAGCAGGTGCTGCCCAGCCTCCCAGATGGGGACATCCAACTCCATCTGGGTGCAGCTAGTGGAGCCCAGCGCCGGTGCCCCCTCTGGACGCTGGTCAGCACCATCTAGTCACGAACATGCTGGCGTGTGGGAGCCACAGAGGCAAAGAACCAAGCTATTGCTACGACTTCTGCGCCGGTGTGAACCGAGCTCAAAACTCCATCAGCGTGGGCATTGGCAGACTCGCTGGGGGCTGCTTAGTGGGGTTCTTCTGGGGAAGCTGGCCCAGGTCAGTGGGGGACAGGGCAGTGCCAGGCAGTCTTGGAGCGGAGGCACCCCCTGAGCAGAGCACTGTAGGATTGGGTCCCATGGAAAGGCCAAACCGGGAACTGATCATCGAGAACTCAGTGGATTTCAACATTGAAATAGAGGGACATCTCTTTATGTAGAGAAAATATTCCTGAGGATCAGATAGATATATTTAAACTTATCAACATTGGGAAGTGCCACATGAGACACTGGGTGGCATGTGAGCGTGTGCATATCTGTGCATCGTGTGCACGCATGTGTAAATCTGCACACGTGAGGTAGTAGGAGGGGCCTGGAAGCTGCATTTCTGGGTGGGGCTCAGCAGGTGCCTGTTATTCTCCCACCCTGTTGGCCAAGGGCCTGCCCCTACCTGGGGGAGAGGCCTGGTGACCTCCCTGAGGGTCTCTTCCCTCTCTCCACACCAGCTTGCTGTGGGAGGATGGAGTGTGTATGTGCTGTGGCTGCTCATGGGAAGAGGGATCCTGTGAGCTCCAGCTGTGCCTGCCACTCTACGCATGAAGCCAGGATCAGTCACCTTGGCTAGGGATACAGCTCAGTTGGTAGAGTGCTCGCCTCACACCAGGCCCTGGGGACAGTCACCTCTGCCAGGCAGGTGCAGTGACTCAGTTTATAATCCCAGAGACTTGGGAGGCTGAGACAGGAGGATGGTGAGTTCAAAGCCAGCCTCAGCAATGGTGAGGTGCTAAGCAACTCAGTGAGATTCTGTCTCTAAATAAAATACAAAATAGGACTGGGGACGTGGCTCATTGATTGAATGCCCCTGAGTTCAATCCCCAGTACCACTCTTCACCCTAAAAACATCAGTCACCTCCACACCCTCAGTGATCAAATGGGGAGAGAGACCCCTTGCAGCAAAGCAAGGTCCTGGTCTGGTCCCTGAGGTGGTGGCGTTAGGGTCTGCACAGGACTTGCACACAGGGATGGCGTGGTCTGCTCCCAGGGCCGAGGCCGATTCCTGTTTGTTTCATGGCACGGAGGAGCTCGGTGTTGATGGGTGCAGGGCTCATGGGAGCCTGGCGTTCATGGGTGCGGGACCTGCAGTGTGAAGGGAGCAGAGCTGCCGAGGCTGGGCCCACCCTGGGTGAACTCCGACCCCTCTTGGGACCACAGGCAGCACCCCGCACAGTCCCGGGCTGTGGAAATCCTAGTGCACTGTGCTGCCCGGGAGCGAGGGCAAGGAAGAGCACCTGCAGGTGTTGGGTGAAGATGAATTTCCCCCAGACACCTTCCACTTGAGACTGGCCGGCCGCCCCGGGGCCTGGGATGGGAGCGCCTACTGGGTCGGTCAGACACGAAGTTGGGAGCGGCGCCCCGTGAGAACGTCACCACATCCCATGGGAAGACGACGCCTCGGCTGTGGGACGCATGTGCAGCCTGGCCCTCACCATCTGTGGTGTCTGGAGTAAGGCGCGCCCCTCTGAGAACGGTGTGAAGGCCCCTCTGTGGTGAGGTGCGGAACAGGCTGGGCACCAGGGCAGCGCGGCAGGCGAGCTCCCTGCACATTTCTTAGGCCCCAGCCTGCCTGCGCCAACTCAGCCTCCACTGCCTGCACCGGGGCCAGAGGCCTGCACAGCCTCTCGGCGAGTCCCGCCGACGTGCCGACCAAGACTGCCCTCTGGCGTGGGATCCCCACGGATGGCTGCCGTCTGCCAAGGAGAGTGGGAGGGCCAGGCAGGTCCTGAGCCCCGGAGGACCGCCGTCCTGGGTCAGCAGCTGTGAGCAGGTGGTGGGTCTGGGGGTCTGCAGGTCACAGTGCCCTGGGTCAGCAGCTGCCTCCACAAGGGACCCGTGTTTTGGCCGCCCTGCACCCCTGGAGGGGCCACTTCTCACCGAGGTTTCAGGGCTCTCTTGGTAGCGGAACCCACAACGGTGGCAGGATTTTTGGAGGAATCTTTCTTTAAAGAACCCTGGCTGGACGGCAAAACCGGGCAAGAAGGCAGGGCATCGAGGCCCTGGGCCTGCTGCCTCCCTGAGACTGGAGACCCAGGAGAGCAGAGCAGGAGTCCTGCCTCCCAGAGGCAGGGCCCGTGGTGAGGAGGCTCCTTGGGAGGCAGGAGGCCTCCCTGAGGGTGCTCCTCCCAGCTCCCTGACTCCTGGTCTGGGGGGGACCAGCCACCATCCTGGGGCGCTGCAGGTCCCGTGGGGGCTCGGGATCCCGCAGAGCCCTGCAGCCAGGCCGGGTGCGGATTGCAGGGGAGGGGGCTTTCCCTGAGAATAAGCAGGTGTCCCATGGGGGGGAGCTGGGTCTTGGGGACCCTGGGAACCTCTGGGCTTCCCAGACCTGAGAGGGAAGAGCTGGGGTCACTGGGGGCTGGGAAGGAGCCAGGTGACAGAAGGAATCAGGAGGCAGCACCTGACTCTGCTAAGGGCCTCCTCACACCACCTGGGGACATGGGCAGGTGCCCCCCCTGGAGGGAGGGGGCCAACCTGGGAGGGATAGGAGCTATTATCCTATGCTTGGGGACAGAGCTGACCTGGCAGGGGCGTCATGGAACCCTCAGGAATCGGCCACTCAGGCTGGGGCTGAGGGGACCCTGGTTGGGGCCAAACCTAGAGAGACCCCTTGCCACCTGCTGAGAGACCAAGGACGTTCACGGGAGAGGCTTGCTGGACAGCATTTATTTCTCCAGGCAGGTGTCCTGTCCGAGGGCCTGGGCCTGTTGGGTGGAGGTTCACCCACAGTGTCTGCAGAAGGCAGGGGCTGCGAGCCGGGTGTGGGGGGCAGGTGGGTGCTGGGGGCAGGTGGGTGCTGGGGGCAGGTGGGCAGGAGCCAGGGCCTGAGCAGGCTTCCCTCAGGGTCTTGCCGTGCAGCTGGGCGTGTTTGCAGGGCCCGCGGTGCTGTGTGCGGGTGCAGTGTGCGTGCTGGAGGGGGGGTGACGTTTGATCCCCTGGGCGGCCAGGTGGGCTGTGACAGTGCCCTGCTTCCTGGAGGAGGGCTCCAGGGGTGTGGAGATCCTCACAGCAGGGCCCAGAGGAGGGCGGGGGCCAGGATGAGCAGAAGCCGCCCTGCCGGGGGCCCTGGGGCGCGGGCCACCGACGGCGGCCTCTCGGGGCGGGGCCTGTTGCAGCGGTCTTGGAGGCAGCAGTTCACGTCCCTCAGCTCCAGTCCTGGGGGAGTCTGCTGACCCAGCCCCTCCACCGTGATCTCAGGATGAGTCCCCCAAGTCTTCCTCTGGAAGTTCTGAGAAACGGCCTCACAGGACGGAGTGCAGCCACTGAACTCCACTGGGTGTCCTTTGGGAGAGGGAGAGAGGAGGCGCCTGGCCTGGGCGTCCTCGGCCCCCCACCCCAGCCTACCGCTGCTTCCTCTGTAGGAAGCCGCCGCCCAGGACCGTCCTCCAAGCTCTCCAGCAGATGAGGACCCCCGGGCCGGGTCTGTCCCTGAGGCCATCTGGCCTGAGGACAGAGCCCTCTGAGCCTTCCCTGGATAAGGTGGTGTCCTTCAGAGACCCCCAGCCCACACCCTGGGTGGAGTCCTGGACTCACCACTGCCGTAGCCTTCGGCCGCACTCAGGATGGCCTGGAAGCAGATGAACCCCTGGGGACACTCGGTGGGCAGGCACTGGCCGCTGTCCTGGGTGCCATGGCAGGAGTAGCACTGCAGGCCCAGCGCTGCACAGGCAGGAAGGGACGGTCCCTGAGAGAACCACAGCCGACCGTGGCCTCTGCCCACCCTCTGGGGTCCTGGAGAGTGACCCCACAGAAGTGCAGACACACAGTCCCTGGAGGCAGGCCCCTTGCCCCTGGGAGAAGTGCGGGACGCCTGGGTCACTCACCATGCCTGGGGCACAGCAGGAACAGCAGTAGCGGGAGGCAGAGCACCCTCATGGCTCCGGGACTGCACAGGATGGGGTCGCTGCCCTCCCGGATCCTGGCCCTCTCTGGCTCTCGCGGTGCAAGCTGGGCCTGTGTTGGCAGGACCCTAGGAACCAAGGTTTGGCTTCAGATAGGTTTCCCTCAGCCCCAGCCTAAGTGGCCCATTCCTGAGGGTTGCATGACGTCCCTGCCAGGTCCAGCTCTGTCCCCATGTGCAGGTTAATAGCTCATCCCTCCAAGGTTGGCTCCCCGCGTCCATGGGGGCACCTGCCCATGTCCCCAGGTGGCCCCTGCCTGCAGCCCAGCTTCCCTGCAGTCCTGCCCGTCCTACTCACTGGCTGAGGTCTTCGGCAGGCGCCAGCATCTGGAAGTGCTCGCCCAGCGGCCAGGGATAAGTACTCCCACATCCCGGCTGCCCCCCCTCAGGAATGCTGGGATGCGCCCGCCCGGCTACACCCTCAGCTCCTGGGGCAGCCTTCCTGGGAGGCCAGCTGCCCTGTGGTGGGGGTCTCCTCAGCCTGGCCCCTCCTCACCCCAAAGCTTTCTCTTAAGTTTGGTGGGATGACAGGCTGGAACCCAACCTCCTCCTGAGCCAACAAGCAGAGATCCCAGGAAGCGGAGTGTCCCTTCTCCACGCCTGGCTGGGACGTGGGGACCTGTGCTCCCCCTCAGCTGCACTGACGCTCTGGGAGCTCCGCACGGCCGCAGGCTGCCTTGCCAATTGTCCTCCCTTCACGTCCCGCGGATGAGGCCGGCAGAAGGCCCTGCTCGGCCCCCTGGCTCCTGCTTCTTTCCAGCAAGGCCCTTGGCAGCCTCCCGGTGGGCAAGCCCTGGCCAGGCCTGTCCTCATGAGTTTCTGCAAGAGCACGTCCCAGAGCGGCTCTGCCATGGGTGTCCTGGGCTCTTGGGGCCACAGGCTCCTACCCCAGAGGTCTCTCTGAGGGCGGTGGCCTCTGTCTTAGGGCCAGACGGTCTACGGTGGTGTCCAAGTCCTCTGGTGGCGAAACCTTTGTCGGGTGTCCCCAGCAGATGGGGTTCTCCCCCTAGTTTCCTAAAAAAGAGTTTCTTACCACCAAGATGCCTTTGTCATTGAATGTCGTGTGGAACCATCCGCAGGCCGCGGGGCCTGGAGTGTTCTTTGATCGCCATTTCAACTGATTTCTTTTGGATCAAGCTTAGGTTTTCTTGCCAGTTTTTCTTTGGTTGCTTTTCTGCGGTTGTGTTTTTCAAGGATATTGTCCTTCTATCCAGGACACTGGAATTGTTGGCTTGGGCTGTTGGGAATATCGGGAGCTCAGTTGAGGGGGAGGGAGGGCACAGTTGGGGTTGGAGTGGTCAGTGTCGGCCACCGGGCCCTCAACGAGAGCGCGGCCCAGGTCCTAACCAAGAAGCAGCTGAGCAGAGCCTCCTGCAGGTTTATGGGACTGGGCCTCCCTGGAAAAGGCCCTCCTGGGCGGCTGGAGGCCCTGCCTCTGCTGGGAGGACCCAGGCAGTCGGTGGAGATGCCAGGTGTGGACGGAGCAGCGCTCTGGGTCCAGCGCTTTCTAAACGTCATTCTTGGCCTGCTGCGGTCTGCTCTGCCTTGGGCTTTCTCTGAAGCTGTGCCGTCTTTTGAGGTGCTTTTCTTGTGGGTGGGGACAGGTCTGTCTGGTGATGGTTCAGTGAACCCGGGAGCCTCTTCATTCTAGTTACTTGACTTCGCGTGTTGTCGATCCGGTGGGGCCGGGGCTACGTGTCCTGGGCTCCTCTAGTCTTCATGGGAGTCTGTTCTGTTACAAAGAGAGAGGTCGGACCCTCCGGCCATGCTGGGCCTCTTCATCTCCCCGTACTTCATCTTGGACCAGCAGCTGTACCTAGTGACTCCAGCAGAGGGCTCTGGTCCCCACAGCGTGGCCAAGTTCTGTCCTGGGCCCAGGCCAGAGGCCTGAACCTGGGGTCCCGACTGCTGGACTCGGTGACCAGCCTGCATCAGGAGCAAGAGAAAAACAACATGAAAAGGGAGAGAAAGCAGACTGAAGAGCAGCTGGTCCCCCTGACCACAGCCTGTGCCCCCTCACAGGAGGGCATGTGAGGTGGGGGCTGCTGTCCGGCGGGAGCAGAGCAGAGCTAGGGGTGCAGTCCCTGAGTTCTGCTGCGCCCTGCTGGCCTCAGGGACAGGGCTCCCATCCTCAGCACGAGGGCATCGCCTGTGGAAGCCCTGGCGGAGACAAGAAGGGACAGACGGTGGGACAATGCTTAGGGCTGGGAAAAGCAATGTGTGGCTTCTCCAAAATTCCCGGTTTTATGGGATCCTGTTAAAAGAGGAGCCTGGACAAAATTTGGTCAAGGAGAGGGTCCTTGTCAGATGTGGCTTGAAGAAACAGGAGTCTGTGGGCAGGCCCCGGGTCTCAGCCCCCCTGTGACCTCAGGGTGCACAGCAGGAGAGCTCTGAGCAGGCAGGCAAGGGCACCCAGCCCCCAGCAGCACCTGGGCCTGCCCTGCAGAGCTTCTGTGGAGAGTTCCTTAGAGGAATACGCCCATAAGCCCTCTCTGTCTCTCCCAGGAGACCTTGCAGGGGGTCTTGTGGGCTGGGGGGCCTCTGAGATTTAAGGTTCCAGACTGTAGAAGGTAGGTCACACTGGGGCCTGGCTCTGGGACGGAAGGCACCAGCCCACCGACGGGTCCTCTGTGGCTACCAGCACCTACCTGTGCTGAGGGGCCTCCTCACAACAGCTCCCTGCAGCGGACCCAACATGCAGGGTCCCACAGAGGGTCCTGGGTGGGCTCCTGGAGGAGGCTGTGGAGGGAAGGAGCCCCGACTTGGGTTCCCTAGGAAAACAGGAAACGCTAACTTGGCAGAGCCAGGCAGAGTCCCCAGAAGTGGGTATGGGGGTGCTGCTGGGAGCCTCCAGAGGGGCACCTGACGCCAGAGTGTGTCTGGAGGTGCGCGTTAGGACGGAGAGGACGCTGAGGCTCCAGAGCCCAGCTGGTGGTGCACGTTAGGACGGAGAGGACGCTGAGGCTCCAGAGCCCAGCTGGTGGTGTGCATTAGGATGGAGAGGACCCTGAGG